GTATGAATAATGACTGAATTTCAGTCATATTAATGATGTAACTTAATATAAAAGATTGCATAACACGCACGAACAGAAATTATGTCCTCTGGCGTTTGGCTTTGTGGCGCTACACATTCTTACCGAAGTGCACACGTACGTGTTACCAGAAACGCGAAGGGAGAAAGTAGAAGCGAGGGCGTTCCGATATTTTGTCCGATATTTTTATTTTTTCTTAGCGCAAGGTGCATAATTAAGAGAGAAAGCATAATTGGACGTAATGTCAACCCGCGGTGTTTTTTTGTTGTCTCATATATTTGTTACTAGTGAGATACCCCGGTGTCTCTCGCTCGCCAATATTCATAATAATACTTTTATTATACACAAAATGTTGTAATTATGCATAAAAATTTTTAACTGCAAAAAATTTGTGTGCATAATTACAACATTAAATGTAATTTTCGGACTCATTGTAATAACTTTGCATGCACTTACAAATTTGCAGTGTACAAATGAAATTAATATTTTGTATCGCAAGATTGTAAAATTAAATTTAAGAACAGTTAAATATAAGAACATATATAATAATAAAATAAATAAATAAAATAGGATATAATGTAATGCCGCGCGCCGCGAACGCCAAGGGACACCATACCTACCAATGCGTGTACATCCTTAATAATATTGAAGTAGAAAAACTAAATAGAATAAATTATCGTCAAAATTAAAACTATAAAGACATTAAACAGTTTATAACTTAAAAACTATTTTTAGCTTAAAAATATATAGTAAACCGATAATAAATTATACTATGTACGTATGTATATAAAAATTTTCCATTAGAACAAAACAACGCGAAATATAAATAACAAACGCTTTAAATTTATAATGCCAATTCACAAATTAAATAATTATCAAGGGATAAAGAATAAAGGTTATGCAACACTTACATTAATATGAAGGTAAATTTGAATTTTCTTCGGAATAGTTGTACCTGATAAATTAATGAATCAACCTTCCTTATTGTTTGCAATGACGATTTAATTGATCTTTTTAAAAATTCCTTCGGTTCCAATTTTATTTCCAGTTGATCATTCGTTACAAAATCATATAATGAGTATCTAGATTCGTCAGAATAACCCTCGTTGATGTGATTATTATTATAATTATTGGCCTAATTTCCACCGAAGGTTTAAACTGGATCAGAATGTAATAACCAACCAACTACAGTCGAGAATTCCTCTGTCGTTTGACTATAACAGGGAAATACTCGACTGTAATTGGTTATTACATTCTGATCCGGTTTAAACCCTCGGTGGAAACTAGGCCATTGTTCACTAACGCCCAATAATGAACAGGAATTAAACCATTATAAATTCAGGGGATGGCTAGCGATCCTTGAATCTTTGAAAACCGGGAATTTCATTGCCAATGATTCGAAGAGTTCTACAGTAGCTCTAACTCTTATTGGCCTGATATATTGATAAGATTGATAATTTGATGTAGAAAACTTTCAATTTTCTCAATTCTGTGGATAAATCAAATCAATAAATTGGGGTTACTGCACTATCCTTCGACGATAGTGTACGTCAAGCGGAGAGCGTAGACTTTTACATAGCGCATAAAACATGAGGTGTAAGAAAATCAATCAACCAGAATCCTTTATTTCACGGAAAGGAAGGAAATAAAGCACTTTCATTTTCTTATGCTTCAAGTGTTATGTATTATGCAAGAGTCCGTGCTCCCCTGTGCTTCATTCTTTCATCGCTGCTTAGTCATTTGACGCGCCGTGTTTCATTTATTAAAACAAATGATGCACAAATTCATCAGGTATTCTATCAGCATCTCTGCTTCTACGGACAATCATTCGGATGTTCGAAAAATTTGGAACTCTTCTTAGGTTAACGTGAGTGATTTTGTGATTTATAGTGCAACAGTCGGAATGAAAAATACAGAGTGAATTTTCTGCGTCGGATATAGAAGTCTTCTCTATTCTTAGTAATTATTATCTGTTTTTTTTTTTCCAGTAAAGAATCAGGCTTAAAGTTAAGCCAAGCACAAAATATCAATGATATTATAATATGAGCTTATTTACTCATGGATTACTCCGAATCCTAAAATTAGTGCCAATGCATTGTATACAATGCAATGGTGCAAATAATTAATATTAGTTCGATGGAAAAAGTACTCATCAAAGCCATGTGAAATCTCAAAAACATAAAAGAATTAAGAATATAGAAGGGTAAATTAGAGTCAAATTCGAGTATAGATGTAATAAACATTTAAAGTTTCAACATTCTGATAAATTGATATGAAATATAAATTTAATTTAAAAACTTAACGTTACATTGTATTGTACATGACATGTTTTGACACCATAAAAGTATTGTTGCAAGTAGGAAGAAAAGCATCCTGATGGAAATGTGTGTACGACGTAAAGAGACTGAAAAAAGTACAAACAACTCCTCCAGTTTCGTAATTGCAAAATCAATACAAGGTATCCAAATCATTATTTACTTTTATTACAGTTTATATAACAAATATATAACAAAATGTGCATTTATTGAAAATATCTCGTGTTTGCAAATAATCACTATCATATCGGATTTAGAATACGAATTTGCATATTAAGTTTTTTAAAAATAAAATCGAATTTAGTTTAATTTAATTTAGTTTTCTTAAAGGAAGATTCTAGTCCTAGAGGTTCAAAATTTATGTATTTTTTACCAATTTTTTTTTTATAAGGAAAGAAATATCAAAATAATGCTTTTTGCATTATGTTTTTTATATTTCAATATACGAAATAAATTTTTTATTTTTAGAATTGTATAAAATTGCAGTTGTAACTTACATTTTTAATAATTGCATCAGAGCATGCACAAATAAATGCAATTATTAAAAATATATTAAATTTGTGGGGCCATGAATCTCATTTTATTTGAAAATTTTTAAAATTTATAGGATGGCAGCCATTTGAAATTAAGTGTCAATTTTCACGAACTTTTTTCACTTTTAACTTGTTCAAAGAAATAGTTATTTTGGAAAATTTATAGCATTTTTAGGTATGGTTCCATAAAAATTAATTTTTTTCGGAAAAAACTTCATATCAATCGGATGATTGATTGAAGCTGTACATTTTCCACCAATTTAAAAAACATGAATTCGAAAAAAAATAAAATTTTACTTCATGATAATGATTTTAGTTAACTACAATATTTTATAACTTACATTTAATCAGCGATTCCTGGCCTAAAAGACTCTGAATCAGAAGCATAAAACATCAAAAAAAATATTATCTCATATAATCATTAAAAATCGATTTAGTTCTTGAAAATTAGTCAATTTATTAGGTGTTGGAATTAATTCGTAGCGTTTTACAAGTGATGGGAAGTACTTTCATTAATGTATTTTTTAATGCTCATGTAAAATAAATAACATTCTTTCATTAAAAACGCTACGAATTAATTCCAACACCTAATATTATTTCGAGTAAAACAAATGTATTAACGTAAGAGACCGTAGGGTAATTAATTTCGTAAAAGTCTAAGTAGCTTTAAAACTTAAAAACCTTCAGAAATAAAAATTTAATTCAATTTTTTTAATATTAGTTATCGCTATATTTAATGCGATTTTTTTTATTCAGACAAATAATAACAAAAAATATATTTCATAATAATAAATATATTTAATTAATAATATGTTTAATTTATCGGCTGAATAATTTTTTTATTTTATTTTTTAATCTATGCTTAATGCTTTAAAAATGTAACAACATCGTGAAAACATATTATTGTGGAATATAATTTAAAAAATATAATATTATTTATGTAACCATTTTACTTTAAAGTCTAAAAATTTTAGCAATTTTTAAGAGTTTATTTTTTTTCGTGAAAATAATGTAATACATCCCATTTTTTTTTAATTTATTGAACTGCTTTTAAATAATATAAACACTTTTCTTATACATATATTCTTGTATATTTATCATATTATATATTGCCGTGATAAACGGGCAATCCTTAAATTCAGGAAATTTTGAAATCTTTCAAAAGAAATAAAAAACGTCTAGATAAAATGTGGATGCAATAAAATTATCGACAAAACCGTGTGATAATTTCATAGATTTTGCTAAATTAATTTTATCTCATGGAAATGCCATTGTTGAACGCGGTTTCTCCGTAAATGCTGAGTGCCTTGTTGAAAATCAACTTGACAAGAGTCTCATTTCAGGCGCAAAGACGTATCTATAATACCGTTGAAAATGTAGGAGATATTGAGAGAAAAAATTGATAAAAAACTATTACGTATTCTATGCGTAATGTGCTTTCGCATTATAAAGAATTTTTGACGAAACAGCATGAGGCGGAGAAACATTGGATATAGAAACATTAAGAAAATGTAAAACTCTACTAGAAAAAAAGAAGGCCAAAAAAGTTAAATACTTAGCTGAAGTATCAAAGATAATGGCAGAGATAGATAATTCAATTGCTGAGTAAAATTTTTATTCCGATTTGTTTGTTTCAATATGTATGTTTATATACGTATATATAAAATATTAATCAAGTTTTATTTAATTTTACTGATTGTCTTTCACGAGATATTTTGAGGAACATTCGTTCTTGTATTTTACTTTTATAATAAACAATCTGTTGTTTAGAGATAGATTCCAAGCAATATTACGTTTATCTTACAGTTGTTCTGAATATGAATGCTCATTAGGTTTAAGTTTAATTTATGTGTTAAATCGTCGAAGAAAGATTTTATTTGTACGTAATATTTCATTTATCAATAAAAATACATTAAAGCACTCATATTTCATTATTTTTTGCTACAATTTAAGTAATGGAACTTTACAAAACTAATCATATTTTGTATGTATAACATGAGTAATTTTTTAATATTAAGAACCTTGAAATCGCTACTTTTAGTTCTGGAAAACCGAGAAAAAACCGGGAATTTGAAAATGCTGGATCGCTGGCCACCCTGAAATTTTCCTTTTATTTTTAAGAAAAATATTTATATTTATATTTATATTTATATATTTATTTTATTTTTTATACAATTATATTTCTATGATACATCTCGTAAACTAATGGTAGAATAAATTAATCCTGGCCACTGAGAAATTTTGACATGAAATCAGTTGGCTTTTTTTCCCACGTTTCTTTCCAATAATGCATAAGTGCTCCTGCAGGTTTCCACAGGTTAGCTACTTCTTGCAACTCCATTTGACCCTGTAAAATTATATAACTTTATATGTTGTATTATAAGTAAAATTTAATTATTAAATCAGTATAAATACTATCACTTTTATATTTTGATTAATAAATTATATGCAACATTTATTTTATCATATCATGGCCATGTTCTAATTCCATACGCACTATCAATACCGAAAATATAATAAACTATATACACATAATAAACTATAGATTTTCAGTACAAGAAACATATGCTAGAACAAAGCCTATAAAATTTTTTCAACAATATATACGTATATCATGAATATTATTTGTAGATAATTAAAGTTATATTAGTTACTGACATCTATTTATATAAAAATTAATGTATATACTCAAGAGATTCTTATTTTTACCTTTACAATAACTATGTCTATAATCCGTAAATCAGTAAGATGAGCATGACGTCTAAATTCCTCACGTATCTTTCGTTTACAGTCTACTTCACTTTTGGGAATATTATAAGATAACACTGCAAAAAAAGAAGTGATTGTTATACTCCAGATAACCAAATGCAGTATGTTTGCTAATATGTTGCCGAAAACGGCAACAATCAATTTTGACAAATTTAAGACAAGGTGAGACATCATTATGTTTGTTGAACTCAATGGAATTCGAATTCTTGCGATGGCAAATTAATGGCAACATGTCAGCATGAATATCCTCAACAACAATTTGTGTCATATTGTCAACATTTTGTTAGCAACAAGCTACAATTAAAAAACTTCACAGGTTGAAGACATATTTGCAACAACGAAATCATGATATATGTTCTGTTGTCATGTTTTCATCACGATGCTCAAGATGAAACGATTAATTATTCATTGCTAACATGTTGCTGTCATGTTACTGACAACATAATGTGTAAGGCTAGTTCTACAATGTGCTTTTTATTTTCTGTTTCTTGCTGTTTGTCTCTGTTTGTCTCTTGCCTTTTTGATCAATAAGATAAGAGACAAATAGCAAGAAACAGAAAATAAAAAGTACATTGTAGAATTAGCTTAAACCACCATTGCTTACAGTTTGCTCTAGAAATTTCGACAACTGATTACGCATATGAATAAGCAGTCATGTTGTTCATAATGTATCCTATTTGATGTCAGCAAATATATAGCGACATATGCAATACATTATAGTTTGCATAATATGCTATATCACGCTTGGCTATTTCGGACGTTTGAGAACGTAAAATATGAAATAACAAGGTAACAATAGCTTTATGTAACTGAAAATAATTTTATATTATTGAAAACAAACATATTAAGAAAGCAACGAGTTTTGGCTTTTACAGATTACAGGTTAGGTAACGAAAAAGCTTGCAATTTGTAACATACGACAGTGAGAATCGCGTACATGAGATTGGTACTTGACGGATCCATGCTTTGTACAACGTAAGCACTTTTCGACGCGCATCTTTTCGATTGACAGATAAAATTGGTTTCACTTGACGAACGACACTCGCAGCTTGACCAGCCATGTTAACTAACGCCGTCGACACTCAACGACTTAACTCAAACGACTACAGATTGCAGACTGCACTCGGCCGTCGATCGTCGGCAAGTTTGCTGTCGTCGCGTCGCGTCGCGTCAGTTGCCATCTCGCAGGGAAATAAACGACAATTCAAAAATCACAGACTGTAATTCTTTGATCGAAAGGAATTTTTTTAAATTAATTGTTAATATTAATCACAATCTGGAAATTATTTTTGACCAAGAGTTGAATTATTTGAATTAATATGCTTTTGCACTATGCTGTCTTATATGTTTTTCGTTGAATACGAATCTGATATGTTAGAATTAAGATTTCACCGTTGACAGTATTGATAATCAATTGTCAATGTCACTTTTAATTTTACATTTTGAATGAGCATATTCTTGATCGAAACGAATTTTTGTTTAAATTAATTCTTAATGAATTTCAAAGGAAAAACTGTAAAATTGGATTTTTTAAATCTTTTTTTACAATGACTACAGGCATGATCTAATAATGAATTTTCTATTAAATAGTTTTCAATCCAATAAATTCATGATGGAACTAATAGATACCTTAGCGTAAAAGCATGAAAATCAAGCAGAACAAGTCATTATGCGATATCAAAATGATGTCAAAATGACTCCAAAATAATCATTCTCCAATCATTTTCGATTCATTTTATTGTCATTTTGACTTGTTATTTTATTTGGGAAAGTACAAACTCAAGCAGAACGTATCACGATAATAAAAAAAAAATAAAAAAAAAGAGCTATTCTCCTAATGTTCATTTCTACCAATGTGTAGATTAACTTATTTTTAAAAAATCTCGATATTTTAATGTCAAATTTAAAATGAAAATACGCATTTAACTCTTCGATATACGAATGATGTCAAAATGACATTTATTATTCTGCTTGGAATTTAATTCAAATAATTCAAAATACGACAATGTGATGTAAAAGGCTAACAAGAATCAAAAAACATAAAAAGTTTCTATTATTCATTTAACATGAGTATAATTACAACTAAATATTAAAAAAAAAGAAATGATTAAAAAATCACAGAAAATAAGAGTATGAAAACGAATACAAAATTTTTCTAAAGAGGACTTAAATATAAGGTCGAAACATGTAAAGTGTACAAATTCAGGCGCAAAATTAAATTAATATTAACAGAAAAAGAAATTGTAATATACGACAGTGAGAGTAACGTACTTGAGATTGGTACTTGACGAATCCATGCTTTGTACAACGTAAGCACTTTTCGACGCGCATCTTTTCGATTAATGGATAAAATTGATTTCACTTGACGAACAACACTCGCAGCTCGATTAACCATTTTAACTAACGCCGTCAACACTCGACTCAGTCGACGATTGACTGCAGACTGCTGACTGCATTCGATCATCGGCCGTTGGCTGTCGGCAAATCGGCCGTCTTCGGCCGTCGCGTCGCGTCGGCTTGTCGGTTGCCATCGCACAAGAAAATAAACGAATTTATTGTTCAAAAATCGCTACAGACCGTAATTCTTTGATCGAAAGGAATTTTTTAAAATTAATCGTTAATAAATCTCAAAGGAAACTGTAGAGTTGAATTTTTAAAAAAGGCTCTCTAAAGTGTGCAATATTATTGTAATAACAATTTGAAAATTATTTTTCACCAGGAGTTGAATTATTTGAATTGATGTGCTTTTACACTAAGCTATCTTATATGTATTTTTCGCTAAATACAAATCTAATATGCTAGAATTAAGATTTCATCATTGACAGTATCGATATAATCAATTGTCAATGTTTTAATCTTTTAATTTTAAACATATTTATTAACATATTTATGTGCATATGTTTGGACGAGCATATTTAGCGATTTTTGAACAATAAATTGTCATTTTGTGGCTTCGCGCGTCGGGCCGTCGGGAAATACTGTTTTTTCAAAAACGACTTTGTTGTAAAAGACTGCACGCAAAGAAATAAGGAATAGTGGGAAATAGGCAACAGAAAATTGCACATTGAGAATATGCAGACTTGTAGCTGTTCCCCGAGCGATTGATGCGAGATCTACAAATAGAAGTTGTAGATGGTCGTAAAGTTTTAAATCGTAGGAAATTAACCAATCGTAGTTGAATAAGACTCTACACAATACCTATTGTAGACTTCACTCTACAAAAAGGTGAAAAAAAAAGGTGCTGTTTCAGAAAAATATTAATCGATTTAACTAAATGTAACAGTCACGGGTTGTCAAGCAAATATTTGTTAATTCAAATAAATAATATATTTTAAGTAATATGTTTTAAATTACAAGATTTTGTTAATAATTATTTGAACTAAATAATCATTACGAACTAAACGCATTTAATCAAGTTAATTGAAATGTACTGAAAAAAATCATGTTACATGATGAAATCATATAATTAAAATATGTAAATCACGTAACAGATTATTTCAAATCAATGGTGGAAACGCCAGGCATAAATGTGATTATCTAAGTACAACAAGTGAATCGGAAATAATTGAAAAATGATTTTTAATAATTATTTTGGAGTTGATTATGACATCGTTTTGATAATCATATGCCCACATACATAATCAGACCTTATACTTAAGGCCTGATTATGAATACGAGTAATAATGACTTGTTCTATTCGAGTGATTGGATATATATATATTAAGTAACAATCAATCATGTTTATTTGCTCGATGAGCAAACTAGCTGCTTCGTCAACTTGAATGAGTTCAATGAGAGCATAAATATAATTATATGTTGTAAGGATGTAGTATATTGAAGCGCGAACCCTAATACATTCGATTTACGCTCTGATTTTATTTTCGCCAAGAAGTGGCGAAATCCATCACCCAAAGAAATAACAACGTCGACACCATCAAAATGTCGAATCGCGCATCGTCGATTCCGTTTTTCACTGGGCATCCTTTCCACTTCTATATTCACTCGGCAAATTTTTTTTTTCTAATACAAAAAAGAGCACATATCGAGTAAGAAGTTTTTTTTACACTGTCTTATAGAATCAACGAATTTTAATAGATTAATATGGAGCGCATCAAAGTTCTATTATATTGAAAGGAAAGTAGCCAGCTAAAAAATCTGATATGAATTATGTATAAGCTTTCCGAAAAAGCAATCATATTATATTTTCAAACTTTATCCCTATTCTGTTGTGTGCCGAGAAGAATAATGGGATCCAATGTAGAAGCCTAATATGAAAATGATGTAAGAATTCATTTAATTTTTATATAAACTTTTCAGATATATGTATTACGACAATTTTTGCCAGACCCTGAGATAGCGCATTGTATAGCAGTTATGCGCAGGTACACTATGTTCTACATCCGCTCTATTGATACTTAAGGACGGTTTTTATTTAAACATTTCATTATAATTTGCAGTTCCAATCTACATAAATTAAATCAATTTATTGAGCGCTAGTCATGGAAAGTGTTGTCATGTTGCCATATGTACTTGTGCCATATAAGATAACTTTATCAGTATGAAAAACTTATTAGAAAATTGTGATATTACAAATGTAAAACTTATTGCAATATTATACCAAATAATATTGAGTTGAACAAAAAATTCGGTGGAATTTTGTTAGCTTACATTATATACAGAATATATTTGTTGCGAAATTTTCTGCGATTATCTGACGTGAAAGCTTAAAGTTTTTTTTAAGGATCCCATTTGTTTTTAAAAAATGTTCCTACGACTTTTTTGTTACCAAGGTTACATGCAGATTAAATAAAAGAGCATTTTGATTTTGATTGCTCATAACTTAAAAATCATCGTAATTAATAAAACAAATTCTTAAAATTGAAATTTTATTCTATCGAATAATATTAATTTTTTAAATGTAAAATATATAGAAATTTGAATTATAAAAATGTGATGTTAATATTGGTTTTTTTTTATTATTACCATTGTGCAATGGTTATAAGAACAGTAAAATATTTTTAGCTCAAATTTATATATTCTATCTTTCTAAATTAGCAATTATACCACTCAATAGAGTAACGTTTCAGCTATAAGAATCTGTTTTTTTTTTGCAGTATGATGATTTTTAATGGAATTATGAGCTATCAAAATCAGAATACTTCTTTTTGCTTAACTCGCCTTCGCTTAAATAATCCAAGAACAAAAAATCGTAGAAATATTTTTAAAAAATTCATAAGGAAAATCCCAAATTTTCATGATATAGATAGTTGAAAATTTTCGCAAATTTTTTTTTACTCACAAAGTGCAAAGAAAAATTTTCCTTTTTTTCAGCTCGTAGTTTTATATATATATAAATTACAAAACTAACATAAATTCAAAAAATATAGTTACCATTCAAAAGTAAAGATTCAAGCTTTAAAATCATTTTTTTAAATTTAAATTTTGTTCGTTTTTAACAAAGATATTGTATACATAATTTTGAGCTAACAAAATATCATAGAACTTTTCCTCCAACTCAATATTAAGGAAAAATTATACTACAAAGATTTAAATATGTCCTAATTTTATTGGTTTTGTGAAAGATTTAAATAAACTTAATAGAATCTTAATAAACTAGATATATTAAATAATAAAAGTATCATCGTCACAGGATAATATATTCAAAATAATAAAATGCTAACTCTTAGATACCATTCTATATAATTTTAATCAAATGTAAAACTACTTTCTTGCTCAGCGTTTAAAAAAATTTCACTTTTCTCTTACTATTTCGAATAAACAACTCATTACTCTCACTTTTTGGATGTTAACTTTCACTTTTCATAACAATTGCAAATGTAGTTGACATTTACTTTCTCAGTTGGCGTTAGCATACGGGAGCCGATAATTCATCCAGGGCTGCGTTCGGATTCCTATCTGGGTACTCCCCGAATGTCATATCCTTATTGTTTATCGAACATTAAACAAGAATAACATGACACCCGAGGAGCATCCGGGTGGGAATCCGAACGCAACCCGGAAGTTCGATTCTATATCTTCAAACAAGATGAAAATTATAAAAGTGAGCAAATTTACTATATGTTGACTAATGAAATTATTAGTATTCTAGTAAATTTGCTCACTTTTATAATTTTTACCTCGTAATTGATGTCACCAAAAACATGGCCGCTAATGATACGCAAGCAAATATATGCGGCTGAATGGAAAACGGGATCTTGTCTCTACTGTATATTTTTATATTGTTGTGAGGCCGACTTAAGAACATAAAATTATTGATTAGTGCGACAACTTCCGCCGCACGAAAAGCATTGCCGCGTTCTGTGTGCAGGAATCAATTTTTTTTTTTTTTTTTTTTTTAGCCAAAAGCGGAATTCCGTAACTGTTTTTGCACGCTTACCGACAATCGATGTCGTTGCGCAGCTTTTTCATCATATAATATATCTGCGTAACAACAATTGCCGGTAAGCATAAAGACAGTAAGGGCTGCCACATACAATAACCGTAAGACGTACCGTACGAATTAGCCAATCACAGTCGAGTATTCTTTTAAATACTTTTAATTCTGATTAGTTGATTCTTCCGGTACGTCTTATAGTTACTGTTACAGAAGGTGTGTGCGGCAGCCCTAAAGCCTAGTCTACAATTAGTCGGGAGACATTATTATATGACGTACCGTAAGAAATTAACTAATCATGATCAATTGTTTCTTTCCATGCGACAGCCGAAAACCGAATGCATGCATTCGACATCCGATGCCAACATACGAAGTATTGTAGAACAGGCCTTACAAAATAGGGGTCCTGGGGATTCTGTATCTTGAAATGAGGTTAATTACAAAAGTGAGCGAATTTACTGGAATATTGATTATTTCATTGGAGAATACTTAGTAAATTTACTCACTTTTGTAATTTTCACATTGTTTGAAGATACAGAATCGACCTCCTAACTCTGATTAGAGGATATTAGAGGGTCTCTAGAAAGAATAATCGCACGTTTCTATCCTATAGATTTAGTACAGACACGAATCACATGTACTTACAACGATTTTATCTACCCTCTAATCAGTTCATGTTAGAAAATGTATGTAGTCACTGTAGTTCTCAAACTAAAAATGTACTGGTGAGTATACGGGCGATTTCGATGATAACAGGAAAAAAACTGACATGGCTTCTCTTAGATTTCTCTCTGCCATGGACTTTATTAGAGAGCCTCAGAGAGAAAGAAAGAGAGAGAGAGAGAGAGAGAGAGAGTGTGTGTGTGTGTGTGTGTGTGTGTGTGTGTGTGTTGCAACTGCTTCTTCTCTAATTGGATGCGGTCATCAAAAGTCTGTAGGCATGGAAGAGATTGGTGAAAACTTGCCTCTATCCTGATTGGATGCGAGCATTGAAATTCTATTACCAGTTTACCACTCTCTCCTTCTGACTTGGCTCTCTAGACTTTATATATCTAAGATTCTAGTCCAATTGCAGTTCCCGCCACAGCTGATGGCTAAATCGTTTTACGTGAGCTGAGAAAACTGCCTGTATTACTTCAAACCGCCTAGCTAGACTGGTCTAGAGCATTTATATTTTTCAAGATTCAAGATTCAAGTGTGATTAAAGATCGAAAAGGTAACTGAAACTTTATTCAAATGATAAACGCCGTATTATTTGTAAATAAAATAACTGTTTTTATACGCCGATCAAGTATTATCTTCTCTTCAGATCTTGAATTACTTTTGTGATTTGTAGGATGAAACCGGTTACTGGTGCTGAAACGGTTACTTCTGAGGTTAGTGTATTTATTTCTCTTTTTGCACGAAACTCTCAAGAAAAATGATGTTACAATATGTGATTTCATATTATAAACTTTTATTCGAACGAAAAGAATATATATATTATTTTTACAATATATTTATACTTTTATAAGTATAATATTTCAAATATGCAAAACTGGAAGGTCATTTCAACTGTTCAATCATATTTATGATAGGTTCATATCAAAAAGAAATTTCAAGTGAAAAATTATATGTACAAATTTATGACTGAGTATGTTGCATACACTAAATTTCAATTTGTTTCAGTTTATTGAATTTTGTTATTAATTACAAAAATAACTGTTCAACATTCATATTACAATTCATTATTATCATAGAAAATGTGTTATATTTTACCTTGAATTAAGAATATATATCTGTAGTATAGAAAATATTTTATCATAAATTATATTTCTGTTTATCACTATATATTATAATTATACAAAAAATTGTTATTTAATAATAATAGATTTATTAAATCAAATCTATTATTCAAATCAAATTAAAAATAAAATCTATATATCATTATACATACATATTATTCTTCTTAGATGGAAAATATATAATATATTACAGACAAAATTTATAAAAAATGATTATAGACATGTTTAAGAAAAGTATATTTATATGGTATAGGTTAAACACAAGTTATAATTATCTTATAATTACAAATTATAATACTTATATGTAAAATAAATGCAATAATTTACTAGAGTATATATCATAATTACAATAGTTTAATAGAGCGTCATTTATTTCTTTAAGAAATTTATTTTTTCTATTAAAACAGGATAAAGTTAGAAAATCTTTACATGAACTTCAGCCCTCAGCTACTGATAAGGAAACTTTAGTTGGTGCTGATAGAATGATCAAATCTACTCAACAAACAAAAGAAGCAAAATCAAAAAAGTAAGTTAATTTGTTCTTCCTTAAACATAAAGAGACTAGGTGTTTTCCAGCAAGATCACAGTCAGATACAGTTAGTAATGTGTGGATGCTTTGAATTAGTTCGAATATATCATGAAAAATTTAAATAGAATATGATTTGAAATTATACAATCTTAAAAGTCTTGAAGGTTTTAAAAAGTTTTGAATGTTTTAATAAATTTTAAAGAGAATAAAATTTTAGAGAATAATTTAGTTTAATTTTAGAGAGTAAAAATATTAAATAAATATAAATAATTATAATACATCAAAGAAATGATGTTCAAATCAAAGAAATTTTTCTTTAACCTTATAGCAAGTTTAAATTTCTTCAATTCAAACAAAATTTTGTTTAAAGAAATTAAGAATTCTCAAGATTTATCAAGATTTTCAAGACCTATCAAACTTTCAAGATCTATCAAGACTTTTAAGAGTGTACATTTTCAAATAATATTCAAAATGTTTCGAAGCAGAACAATGACTAAATTGATTGAAAATTCGCAAGAAATATGATTGAATACCTATTATTAGATATAGTGAATCGTTACATCCTTGTTTGCCTACATTAAACAAGGATGAAATGATTATTACACTCTATCTGTGTCCTTGCTGGTAAACGCTCATTGTAATAAATATTTGTAAATATATTTATATTTTTACTTTATGCCTAATAAAAATACACGGAGAAAAGGTGATTTCTTAAGCCAGTTCTACATTAATTGCAAGCCGATCGTAAGTTTATTGCGACAGCCAATCTAAAGTTTGCATTTTGAAACACTTCATATTGGCTGTCGCAAACTTGCGATCGGTTTGCAACTAATGTAGAACTAATGTAGAACCGGCTTTATAAGATCATTATTTGAAAGAATGACAAAATTTTATGGAAAGAATTGAAGTTAAATCTATATATATATTTTAGAAATGTACCTACAAAAAAGAAAAAAGATGCTTCCAAAAATCAAGTAAAAGTGACAACCAATAACAAAGCTGTTCAAACTGTGAAAGAGGAAAAGGGAGAAATTGACGCTGAGGATCTAATATGCACAGGTACATTTAAAATAATATATTTTATTTCTCCTTTTCTTTCTGCATTTTTTTAAAAATCGTAAAAGAGTTAGATTAGTTTTCTATTACATTTTTTTTTCTAGATTTAGCTGGTCCGAGTGAAAATTATTGGCAAGTATTAGCTGAAAAGAGGCGATTAGCGCTTAAGGATACTTTAGAAGAAAATAAAGAACTCGCAAAACGTAACGAAAAGTTAGAAGAAGAAAGTCGTATTTATAAATTAATGTTGGATGAAGCGAGAGCTCTTATTGAAGTGTTGCAGGTAATATTATATTCTATTGCATTGATATTATATATTAGGTGTAATAAAAAGAAATCCATTATTTTTCCAATAGATGGCTTTAGTAATCTGTATCTCGTCTACGCGTATCTACCTAATATTTAGCATTAATTACTATTTTATAATTATATATGTATGTTATGTATTTTATTGCAGGACATGATGGGAGATGACAGAAACGATATAAACAATTCATTAGAAGACAGTGTCCTTTGATTTACGAGTTCATTTCTTAAAGTTATAACGAAGATCAACTATCGAAAATTTCTATATAAAAATGTTGAACGCATTCAAACTCACAAAAGCCGATATTTTATTTCAAACTTATGTATACATATTATTGAAAAATAATCTTATTTAAAATACATGTAGCTATTTAAATATAATATTTTAAATCAAAGGATTCTTGAATAAATTGTTGTGAAAAAGTAGGCTATACATACACATACTGTATTCAATAGTTCTACTATTGAATATCATAAATATTTCCAAATGTTATATCTTAGAGAGATACTAAATGCAACATTTATAATCTTCAAAATATTTTATTGTAAAGGCTTGAATGCTTTCAACAATTTTGAATGAAAATTCGTTAGTTAAGTATTTGTTAATTTGCTGCATCGTTCCTTATAATAATTTATACTGTCAAAAATGTAGATTAAAATCGTATTCATTATTCAATATACATTTTTTATCAACTTACTCCTCATTAGTTTTATAGACAAGTATACTAATATTGTACGCAGAAATCAATTTCATTTAATGCTAGAAACATTGTTACTACTATAAATAAAAAGAACTCTAATGATGATTGAATCATTTATTATTTAAGTACATAATGAGATACACAAAATAAATTTCGATCTCTTTTACTGTACATTTTAAAAAACATTCTGAATCCATCATAAAACGAACCAGGTACGTTTCAGTAAAACTTCTTAGAAAAATATCTTCTTTCAAAAATTAAACTTTTTTCACATATTTTTATTTAGATATGTAAATAAATAGAATGCATATGCATATGTATATGGCGTTACTGCGAAAATATTTTTTGCATTAATTGCCTTGTTTTGTTATATGGCACATAGCATCAAACTGACATTCTTCATCGCGATCTGGATATATCGCTTTCATAATATTTAATGGACAAGGCATATCTTTCGGACAGCCTGGTAAATATACCGGTCGTTCCTGAAGCATGAATAAGACACTGGGTCCGTAATATTCGCAACTAAAACGAGAATAATTAGATAAATATATATACGACAATATATTGAGTCATCTAAAAAGTATCCGCGGTTTTTTTCACAGATGGTGTTGATGATCATATATTTAGTGACAAAAAACCGCGGATACTTTTTAGATGACCCAATATATATATAATTTCATGATTTTAAAAAAGAAACATACTCATACAAAACAAATGCCATGTTAGTTGCAAACGTATCAATAATACTGCTTCTCCAAGCTCTTTTATCTTCCTTCTTGCGTAATACGAAGGAGTCATGCGTTAAAGGATGCGCATCTTTGGCTAATCCGAGTAAGGCTATTAATTTTAAAATTGTGCCAGAATGTGTAAAATAAGCTGTTGTCACTGCCGCTTCATTAGATCTGAGAAATAATAATATTCTTATAATATATTGGACTGTGTTCAAACTTTAATCGGATGCACCCATGTATCATTTTATCTTTGATAATACATAGATGTACATAGATGAGGTTTCTGAACGCAGTCCTACATTAACATAATTGAATTATATTTAATTAGCAAGATTTACAATTAGACAAAATGATTCCACAAATGTTTAGAATAAAGCTGCATTAAAATTGCAATCTTGTATTTATGAACTAAATATTATTTATGAAGGTTTTCTCTTTAATTAATGAAAATCTCTGATATGTAAGCAAAAAGATTTAAAGCATCCTCCTGTTTTTGTCATTTTTACTGAAAGATTGCAGTAAGAAAAACACAAGAACTTTATATTAAATTGATTATTGCAATGCATATAAATCTGCATACCCAAAGAAATCAAACATATCTTTTAAGGCAGCGCACGCTTGCTCATAAGTCAATGGATAGCCATATCCGTCGATCCAATAGAATTCTAGATCTTCTACGTATTCAAAGATCTATAAAATATGAATTTAGAATTGAATGCATAATGACATTTTTATCCGTATAAAAAACGTATATTTTACTTTAATTTAAATCTTACTTTGAAATCATTTGATGAAAATATTTTACACCAGGGAGATATTATACTTTGATTTAAAGCAGTTTCAAAAGCACACGTTGTGTACATTAAATTTACAGTTTCTGAAATATCGATTGTATATAACAATTGACATATATAAATACTAGCAGCAATTGATATTTATTTAATTTATATATAATATATTTAATAAATACTAACCATAATCAATATTGAGACCAATGCGTTTCTTAATATTGTCTAACATATTTCTAACAATTTTGCCATCCAAAAATTTCGTTTTCTCTAATTTTGCATCTAAATTCTTGTCAACTTCTTGGCGCCAGCGAGGACAAGCTTTATAAAACTAGGAACACAGAATAATCATGTACCTAAAGAACTAAAAAAATTAGGAGCAGAGTAAATTGCTTGAGAATTTAAAAATAATGAAATCTTACTCTTATCACTCGATCTCGATATACTGGTAATGGATACCAAACATTTTTGCTATTATGCCAACCGAATAAACCAACAGCAAAATGTCTTGCACTCTCTTCTGTACGTTGTGTGGCAGTGAATCTAAACTGAAATTCAGCTGATGATGAAGGAAGAAATATAGAATATATATCTAATATATTTGGATTTTTCGTTGTACATACTTTATATGTTTGATTGTTAAAAGCTTCTGGCATTAGAGATGGAAATCTTGCCTGATATCTTTCTCCGAGATCAATCATTTCATTTTCTCCTTCTACTGCCAATTTCATCATGTTTCCTTGAGTAAACGATAGTTTCCATTTTTTAAACAGAGCTGCTTCATCAGCTGACAAATTTGTTGCTCCATTCTCATAATTTTTTAATATTACATGTTGCAGCTCTGGTAAGTCTTCTATCATACGAGGTATGTACTTCTTGCCTGGATATCGAGTTCCATGACGAAAAATCAACCAAATCTTTTTCTCCACACAATCTGTAAATCAAATGACAATAAATACACATTAAGAGCTTTATGTATGCATTAAAAATATTAATGATATTGCAATACCTGGATATTCTAATGTTGATTCATCATAATTAGCTACACATCTATAAGGAGTTTTTGAGCCTAATCTACATCTGTAACTGTCATTACACTTGGAATAATTAGAAGCAAGAGAAATATCTGCTACCATACAAAATATAAGAATTTTAGCAGATAATTTCCAAAGCATTCTGAAGTTTTATAGCGTCATAATCATGTCACAGTCCACAAATATATTAAATATATGTATATGTACTTTTTTCTTAGTTATTTAACATAATACATTCTAATATAATAGTTTCTTTTATCTGCAATAAAAGCATTTTGTCAGTGATAACTTCGTTATAACAATATTATATACACCACCTAATATATACATTGCTTAAACTTTTTTGAACACCGTGTAGATATGACGTCAGTGCTATAGATTTCTTTTTTCTCTCACGCATGTGATTCTATTTCAAGTGCAGTGTAGCTGAACTTATTGTTCATTTCTCTTTTTCTATCTAACTGCAACCGTTCACTATGCTGCACTGCGCAGACGTGAATTGAAATGTTAGGCTAAAGAGTGAGGTTATTTATTAGTTTACTTCTCAAAAATCTAGTAGAATAAGTAGAACTAATTAGAAGTATATGGAAGTAAATGCGATTTTTATTGAACGGTAGTGCAGTCGTTGTTGTCTAATGTAATCATAGGAAAAGTAAGACGAACTCTCTTGCTCTCTGTGATGTTCTATATTGTTTTGCAACACAAACTACAGTATTTAACAATTTGTTACAGGTATATACAAAATATATTCTTGCACTAAACGAATGCAAGCCAAAGTACCGATGAATTCAAATTTAAGATATTAACAGTCAAATAATAATTCTATAGTTCAAGCATCGTTGAAAGTAATTTTTTTTGTTTATTGAATTTATATAAATTTTTTTATTAATTAATATGATAAATTAATTATGTTACATTAATAATTATCTTAATAGCTCATTATATGTAGCTTTACATTTAAATAAATGTGTATTAACATTAAATTTTATTAACTTAGATTAATCTAAAACTTTGATAATATGATTAGATGGGGAAGAAAAGAAATATTCAACCTCCACCAATAACGCCAGGACGGATAAAAATAGAAATAAAAAATGAAATAGGTAATGATATATAACAGAGCAAACTATTGCAAATTATGTTGATGTATTAAATATTATAAAACTAATTGTTTATATAGGAGATAGTGATGTTCTTGTAGCAAGGGATCGTTTAAAAGGCGCTCTTCGAGAATTATTACACCATAGTGATACTGGTTCATCAGCAGAATCAGATGACAGTCCTATTTCGGATTATAAACATCCCATGAAAAAAATGTAAATCTCAAAATCCTTTTATAATTACGTTAAGACAACATTCGAGATAAACTAATTTTTCAGTAATTATGACATTTAGGACAAAATCTATGAATATTCCACGGAGAGTCAGACGTCGTCGGCCAATACAGACTGACACAGCGTTCCATCATACATATGTGATGAAATTATTTGATCGCAGTGTCGATTTAGCTCAATTTCAAGAAGACACACCACTATATCCAATATGTCGTGCTTGGATGGCCAATCAACCGAGAAATCCTCATTTGGCTCCTAAGTGAGTAAAATTATATAGATACTGTTTATTTTACTGATATAATATTTGTTTTGATATACATTAGGAATTAAGTTTTAAGTGATTCTCTTTTAGAATATTTTATCATACTGGAATTTTTCATGTGTATGATAATTAATATTATATTTCTTAATTATACTGCAATACTTTTTTGCATTTCTTATAATTTAAAAACTTATATATAATAAGAATGCAAAAGACAATATTTTAGTGATTAAATTAAGGGAGCCAGATGGTTGGAAGATAAAAAAAATCAATGATTTTTTTTTAATTTTTTTGTGAAAAAATGATTATATCAATGTTACATTTGAATCTATATTTTATTTGCAATAAATATAAATTGTTATTAATTAAAATGTATTGAAATGTTTGAGAGGCAACAATGGTGGCAAACGTGTCCACATGGTTTTGTTAAATTGCTAACATTGTGCAGTCAGAACTAGTCGTCTGAAATAAAAAAAATTAAATTGATTTGTAATTAATAATGTTGAATGTATACGGTAAATCTAACAAAATTATAAAAAATCGCGATTTGTTAAAATTATTCCTTTATAAAAAAAAAGATCCGTTTTTGATAATTATTTTTCCCGTTAAATTGCGAAAAAACTATTACTGTTTTGAAAAATTTATTTTTTTAGCAAATAAATTAAGGAGAAATAGCCCATGTGAATACGCATAGGATATTTTTTTGTGAAATTGTCATATATTAAAAAATAAATAAATAGGTTACAGACGTTTCGACATCGTAATTGTATCCTCTTCAAGTGCGAACATAATATAGACCAGTATATAAAAGCATTCCAATAAAATAAAATAAGATTGTTAACAGTAAAAAGTTATCAGAATTGAAAAAATATTTCATTAAACTGTAAAATCACTATCTTCGTCTGCTGTATCTTGACGGATACTCAAACTGATAAGGAAGTCACTATAATAAAATAAAGTAGAATAAAAACTTTGATTCAATATCAGCAATCATAAAAGTAATTAGTTAAAATAATGTTTTTTTTTTATTTATTTAACAGATTAACGATATTCTGTACAAATTGATCAGTAAACGCTGAACATAAAATTACGAATGAGAGGTCAAGACAGAATTATTTATAACAAGTTAAAAATCCCGAAGTATGGAAGTGGCATCTACACACAAATAAGATTATAAAGCGGGCTATTTCTCCTTAATTTATTTGTTAAATATTGGAGTCTTTGAATAATTTATTATTATTTTTTTAGGTGTAATCGTATTTATCGTATGGAGAAAATAGTTTTAATAAATGTGTAAAAAACGACGATTGGTGCATTTCTCTCTACAATGTCAGCAAATTTGAAAAAACACGTTTTAAGAAAAATGCATTTAAAGTTTTGAGTTAGAATACTTATGTTTTTTTAGTACTTACAATAAATTTTTCTTATTCGGCGATTTTTGGACCATAATACGATTCATCCTCTTGTTTGAACAGAAATGTAGAAAAAGACAGAAATCCGGCAGATGTTTCTTTGTTCGAAGAAGTAACAGCTGGAGATCGAAACTCAAACGCGCCTAATTTTTATCTGTGCACCATTTCAGTTAACCGTGAATAATTCCGTTATCTTACGTTATTTCTATGAATAATTTTGGTAACATATTTTCAAGACAATCAACTTCCCGAAAATAAGATTTTAAAAAATCCATTTTTTTTTTACCCTCCAAACCAGTCGATCCCCTTAACCATTATAAAAATATTTTCTCAATTTTTTTTTCTTTCTATACAACTTTATATTCGTAAATTTATGCAAAATTAAAATAAATACATTAATTTGTGATTAGAGTGCGAAGTCCAAGTCCAGAAATAATTAATGAAGTTAACACGGCAAATAATTTAATTGGTACTGATGGTGAGCTAAATGATGTTCATTATTTGCCACCTCCTTTGCCTCGTGAAGAAGCCATACCAAGAAATCGTATTCCATCCCCTATACTTGAAGAAAAAGATGATTTGAACTTAGATTATGTGAGTCAATATAATATTTCGACAAATGTATAATATTTGAATTTATATTAATTCAGTTACTCGTAACTATATAAAAGTAATTGATTTACAGTCGACAAGTCTCGAGTTTGATCCCATGTATACCTTAGTTCATATAAAAAGTTGATTAAAGAATTATTAAAATAATTCTTAATAGCTACTGTTAAAGTTTTAAAAATAAGAAAGATTTATACTAATACATTTTTTTGTGTTAACAATTGTATTATAACACATACAAATTGTACGTAACGTAATTACAGGAAGGACAAATTCTCAAAACGCGAGAACAATTAATGAAAGATCATATTGAACGGTGGAATGCTATACGCAAAAAATGGCATCAGCAAGCGCATAAAAATGAACAACGTTATTCACAAAGTGCTACTATACTTGGCACCATTTTTACAAAGTTTGTATAAAAGATGTTGATTGATATAGTTTTCCTTTGATTAATTGTAAATGCTTATGATTTTAATCTTTCAGAGCACAATCGGAATTTGAATAGCAGAAATATGGCAGTCCAGTGACTGCCGATTCTTCCGCCGCTAATTCTGCTAATTTTTATTATGTCATCAAGGAATAATTTCTTATTTGCTATTTTTCTACACAACTTCATTGGTGAGTGAATGCTTATATGCAGAAGATTATACTTATACATGTCTTATATGAATGCAGTTTTTTATTTATAATGTCCAGAAGAAAAATGTAATCATGTTTTAATGATATTCCGATAATAAATTATAACCTTAATATAAAAGGAAATCGCGACACCCTTGTAACTATTTTTCTTTTAATAAAAATAATGGAATATAGCAATCAATTTCTTCTTTTAAGTGCGTAAATAATATTTCATATTTTTACACCTTAAACCTTGTGTGTGTGTGTGTGTGTGTGTGTGTGTATGTATAATTATCTAATAAGATATCAACAAAATAACATATAAAAATAAATTACTTATCTAAAATAATAAATAATATACTGTCAATCTTTGCACTAATCTTATATCTTCAATTTATTTTTTATGAAAAACTTTGAAAGAGGGTTGAATATTTATAAATGCTTCCTGTATATTCCTAATTTTTCATTACATGCCATTGCATTAAAATATTGTATAGAATTATGTTATTGTAGATATGAAAAGGGATCATTGTAAAAATGTTTGATTTGATTAAGATAATAATTATCTTTCTGTTTTATCCTAATTATAATCATTAATATGCACTTATAAATTTATAGAAGTAAAATTTAAAATTGAGGAGAAAGGACCAAACGAATAATTTTTGAAGGCTTGAGAATTACATGCTATTTATTCTAAATATTAACAGTCATAACTTATATTATTTACTTTCAGTTAATAGGATTTACACAAATACTATTTGATTGTTTGTTGACTGTATTTTTTTTCAAAAAGCTGTAATTTTCAAGACTTCGTTACATGCTTGCTGAGATGTCTATAGTATTGTAGGATTTTTGTCTCATATAAAATGTAGCTAAGAAATAAATAACATAATTTAAATTATTCATTCGCTTAACTACTACTATACTATTTCCATCTTTTGACTTGCTTAACTATATACTTCAATAACAAGTGTTCATCGTAAGCAACATTATTACTCCGTAATGCACTTTGCAATCTATGAAATGTAGGAAATGATTTTTTGTATAGTCTTGTTTCTTGACAAGACTGAAAGTTTTCACTTTTCTGGAAGTATACTGTAGTAAACAAGTTTTGTTTTTATCACTATTACACATGGAAGTTTACTTGTCCGTCAAAGATAGCTCCAGCACATGACGAAACGTTTCTTCTTCTAGCAATCGTTGTTGCTCTTCTTCCATTTGTTGCTGCTCGGAAAGCTTTAACGCTAATCTCAATTGTTCTGCAGTATCTTCGAGAGAATCGCTATCTTCATTTTCATTTATACCCGCTGAATTCGCAGTACCTTCTGTAGAGCCAGCCGTTTCTTGATACAGCACTAAACTAGCCTGAATTGCCCTATATTCAAAAAGAATTATTTTTAGATATGAAAAATATTTCGATAAATTTATATTGACATTTATTTTGTTAATACTTTCTACGGATTTTTTGTGCTTCATTTATATTAATTTAAATATGAGTAATTTCTGCTGCATGAATAAAATTTACCCGAAATTGATATTTGCAAATTATAAAATTACCCACCTGCCTGAACATGAATTGTAGCACAAAAACACATGCAAAATTAATAATAAAATTAACTAAAAACATCGATAACATTCTCTTTAGTACGTGTTTATTGCATACCTCTGAAGCTGCCTTTCTTCTTCAGTGGTCATGTTAGGTGTAGTTGGTCTAGATGGCTTTTGCGCTCTTAATGCTTCCCATATATCAACCTATGTAAAATAATATTTTTTTGTGTAAAACAGGAAAAACATACGATATTTGTATATACTTACAAAACAAAATATAAAGAAAAACAATATACCTCATCGCGTTCACTACCAGCTTCTAAAAGACTTTGTTGAATAGCAAACTGTAGTAAATCATCCTCTTCTTCAATACTAAATTGTGTTCTAACTTCCGCACCTATATTCAACCAATGTGAATTAAGTACATTATATGTATTGAGTGTAGAATATATACACATATATATAAAACGAAGTTTTACCTAATTTGGCATATCCACTAGGTGTTTCAAAACAAATATCATCAACTAAGCAAGTTATACGATTAGTTTCTTGTAAATTACCTACATGTGGCACCTCTTGATCTAAGCCAAATATATTTCCAAATGTTATTCTCGCATTGAGAATGTGGAACAATGGAATTTCTAAAAAAAAAATTGATTATTTTAATATATTTTGTGTGCAATATGTATATATATTCAATATATATTGCAGCCGTACACATATATATATATATATATATATATATATATATATATAATTGACATCTTACCAATTTTAACAGGAAAACCAGCTGGAAGTTGCATTTGAATAAAATCTTTTAATTTTGCGAAATGTGAACTAGATATAGCCATCAAATCTACAATTGGCATGATTTGTTCTTGAAGACTTAATGGATAATCTTCACTTAACCATAAAGTTGCCTGAATATAAAGAAATGTTTTAATTAGTATACAATATAATATATGTGTAATGTACACACAGTTTTTTCAATATATATAAAATACCTTAAATTTTTGTATTTTTGTATTAACTTCTTTTGGTCTACCTATGTCTCTTCCATTTAAATCTATAGCTGGATCAAAGTATTCCTCAGCAGTTATGTTAGAAGAATTCTTCCTAAAATATATAACTTGATTAATAATTTCAAAAATTATTTTAAATATATAATAACTGATTAATTATTGAAAAAAATTACACTGGTAGCGACAGTGCTGCAACTCTCCTGCTGCTGTTCTGCAATACCAAGAAATGATTGTAAAGGTGTTCTTGGTGCTCGAGCCCTTGCTTTATCTGCTTCAGATAAGTGCTCCAATCGGGTTTTAGTTATTAATTCTACATTGCTTGCGCTAAACACTTTACACTCATGACCATTTACTACTTCACTTTTGTCAGAACGCCATCCCCACAGACCTGCCTTATTGCTAATTCAACATAAACAATATTGTTGAAATAGATATGAACAAATTGTATACATATATATAAATATGTATGTAACATTATTAAATATCGTAATGATAGATAGTTACCGTTCAAAACTAATTTTATCTGTATCTATGTAAGTTGTAACTATAGGATTAGTAAGTCGAGCTATCACACCTTCTTCAGATGGTTCCAATAATTGTATATTATCACCTCCTATAAGTTTCATATGTTCAACATAAACTTTTCTCGTTTCGTGATCTACTTCCATCATTGTTGCCCCATCATCTACAAAAAAAATGTCATAAATTTTATGAAGTATTTTATTATACTGAATTATTTCAATAAAAAAAACCATATAACTCTGTTATATTATCATATCATATTGCACATTATCTAAACATTGTATACTTGTATGTATATGTATGATATAAAAATATATTGTCTTATATTATTTTTAATTATCTATTTATTCAGTTATATTTGTAAAAATTAATGGGAACAAAAAAAGAGGACGAAAAAAAGAAAAATTATAATAAGAAATATATAGTGTTAATATTAAAAAGTCCCCCGTATTTATGCTTATAAAAATATTTTTATAAAATTTTTAGCAATGCAATACGCAAATTAAATATTAAGATTGTATCATCTGTGTGATGACCATTCAAACACACAGCTGCGTTCATCTAATTGTCATAGATAAAATTGAGCTTGTACTAACATATGAAATTTAATAATAAACAAATAATTGACCCAACAACATTCCCAAAACATATAATCAATCACAATTTAAAAAAGTGAAATTGTACGATACTCATGCACGAATATTAATAAGATTATTATATATTCATATTATAAAAATATCTATGCTTACTTTGTCCTTTAAACACATAGCTTCGATTACCACGTTGCCAATTTGCATGATCAAAGCCTAATAAAGTAGTATCAATTCTCACATTACTACCTTGTTTATAAACTTTATATGTATCACTTGGGCACATCCGAGATACAAGAGGAACTAGTCAACAAAAACAATAATAGTTAATCACATATGTTATTAAAAATAAATTAGATAAGTATATAAATTGCAGTTAGATCCAAATTATAGATTAAACTGTAAATCTTGAAGATTATAAGCAAATGTCATTAAATTCTGTTTCTTACCCCAACTTGTAAACTCCCATTTCATTTCTACATAAAAATCAGGCGCCTGAAAAGGATTTCTATTTACTAAGATCATCAAATTAGCTTTCATATAATGATAGTCCACACAAGAAACGTTAGGATTAATATTAATTTACGGAACTTGCAGAAAAGAATTTCTCTTTTAATAAAAGAGATTTATTTTGTGGGAACTGTATATATATTGAATTAATAACGTGTTAGTTATTACATAAAACTGACCTGTTTAAGTTTATGAAGTAGTTCTGGTATACCAGCCACTCGATTACAATATCTCTGGTAATCTCTTCTAGCAAGTACCAATTGCAATAATTCAGGATTTCCTGTACCAACTGCTTCTTGAACCACTATATCAAAATAAATTAAACTGATTATAATAAAAATAAATTAAAAGTTGTTAAAAGTATAAACATCCAAAAGATTACACAGATAGATAAAACACAAAAGACTATAAAATAAATTACCAGTCCATCCTTGAGTGTTCTCTGTATTAACATTAGCTTCATGCTGTAACAATACTACAGCAGAATCTGTATGACCCAAGGTTACTGCTAACATTAATGGTGTCCTTCCTCGATTGTCATGTTTTTCTATATCATGCTAGAAAATATTTAAATATTATAACTTACATTATATAATTAAGATAATTATAGCAATATTGTATTTTTTAATTTTTCTTTTAGCATATATTTACTTTGCATTTGTTATATAATTTAAATGATATATTCAAAATGTACTCC